CCCCCCCTCTAAAATCAATTCTCTCCTGGAGATCGTCTTCGTGAGCCTCTCATGATTTCAGGATAGTTGAAACCCTCTTGAACATTCAGAAAGAGTGAATATGAAATTCTAATCACGAAAGGTGTTCCCCGAGGGGATACATACCTAGAGTTTGTTTTGTGAAGCACGTCAATTCTCTCCTGGGGAGCGTCTTCGTGAGCCTCTTCTGGTTTCAGGATAGTTCAAATCCTATGATGTTCCGATTCAATGCTCACCGATGATCTGAGCCATGTCTTTTTGAACATTTCGAGAGCACATGTTTGAACATTTAAAGTGCATATGAACATATATGTACGAAAGGTCGCCTCCGAGGGGATAAATCACCATGTCGAACATTGCATTTTTGTTCCTGCCTCTCGCGTTCTCTTCTCTTTCCGCTGTCTTACCTTTCGTGTCTCCCTCCTCTCAAGTGTGTTATAGACAAATTCTTCCTGACTCGCTCAGTTGAGCGCGCTCAATCTGTAGAATAGCAGGGATTTGAGCACTCTTGAACTTGATGGATGGTCCCGATCAACAGTTCAGATAGCAGCCAGTCTACCCATCCTATCTGACGGCGAGCCACCAAAAGTATCCTGCTCCCACCTTCGACTGCCACGTCTCAAGTAGTTGTGGAGAGTGTGCCAGCTTTCAACTGGCGAAATAGAAAAGCATTGCCCGCACCTTCCATGGGCCCTGGAGAATAGCAGCAACATTGCAGGTCTTTGCTGCTTCCAGTTCTACTCCTTCGGCGCCTTACCGTTTCATTGCTTACTCCACGGATAGCATAGGGCTGAGCATTTGAGACGGTCACCAGCATTTGCGCTTTGATCCGCTTTGCGATTTTTGTTTTTGCTTTAGGCATTTGATTTTCTTTGGCTTTATCCTTTCATCCCTGATCCACACGAGCACGAAGAAGCGTAGGCAGTATAGGCTCACGAAGCATTGGGCAGACAAGTCGCCCTCAGGTCTTGCAGCTTGCAGGCGTCCCAGTGGTCCAGTGTTCCAGCATGTTCCAGCTGCTTTGCCTTTGGTTTGATGAAGCCCACAAAACAGTGTGATAGAATTTCAGCCGCTTTTGAGCATGTGTGTGTGAGCAAAAGATGAGAGAACGATTCGTTGGTCGTGGTGGTCGAAACACGTTCTCAAACTATTTCCACTATTTTCTATATCCTGCAACCTGTGGCCAAGGTGCATCCATTAGGAGCAGCTTCCCATGGCATTGTGGCCTTGGGCACGCTGCTTCTGATGCTATGCTCGTGCCTCCCCTTTTGCCCCTTTTGCCCCTTTCCCTTGGAACCTTTGCGGCAGAGTTTCAGAATGCTATGCCGTGGCTTTTATGATGACCAGCACCACCGCAGCTTATCCAGGTCAAGACTTAAGATGCACTAGAACCAATTCAGAGACACTGCAAGCATTGCAGCTCCACAGGCGGGATGCTTCCCTCCAATTTCTCAAGGCCCAAGAAAGAAGGAATTAACTAGTAGCAAGGACGCTACTAGGTCGAGCACATGGCATGCCATGGCGGATATGGCTATAAGGTTGGAGGCCATCGGTACTAGGAACAAGGACGCAACAAAAAGGGCTCTGTGCGGCTCTTCCTGACCAAGTCGGAAGGGCGGCGACGGCAGCCCAGGAGCGGCGACGGCGGAGAGCGGCTGGTTTCGGGACTCGTAGAGCGAGCCCACTTGGTGGCACGAAGGTAAGTAAGATAAGAACCCCGAGTGAGGAGGCCACTGCAATGCTTTGTGATGCTGTGAGAAGATGAGAAGGGATTGATGCAACATCCATCCAACATCATGATGCCATCCAACACGTAATACATCCAGATCTTGTTTCAATTGGATGTCGGCAACATCTTGCAGCATGATTGGAATTGCGTTATTTTGTTCACTGTGGTCTTTCAGTTAAGGCTCAGCCGTACAACCTCTTGATTCACCGCTTTTTCCAAGACTTGTTGCCACCATGACACCACGCGCAGACAAGAAGCTCCGATTCATTAAGGAGTTTATTGTAACTGACCAGGAATTTACATGAGCAGCTTCCCATTCCTACTCGTAGCTGTTAACGCTCCTCAAGCCTGATTGAACTACATGTTGCATTCGAAGGCTCCATGGACTGTGCAGAGAGGCGCCAGCGAGGCGTGAGGCCAAAGATGTCTGGAGCTTGGTGAGGGGGTTTTCTATTTTATCATCCTTTTTCTTTAGATAAAGAGATGTAAAGAGTAGTACAGGGCCTAGGGTAGTCACATATGTCAAGGAATCAACCCACACAACCCACAGAGCAAGCACAGAAGTAGTGTTCTTTCATGTTCTTTCCTAGCATCCTTTGCCCTTTGACGATGCTGTTTGAAGAAACAATACTTTACTCTTTTTCATGACATTTTTCGACATTTGAGGCCAGCCTATGAGGAGACGCCTTTGTGCTCCGTTGGAAAGGTTGTCCGCGTGCAAGCCTCATTGTGTGTGTGTGTGTGTGACATTCACGACGTGTATTGGCTTATGGTTAGCGCATGGACGCGTGGGGTAAAGTAGTGTAAATAGTAATGGCTGACCGGAACCATCTTAGTGAACAGCAATGGCCTCCAACTTAAAAGCCATGGCCTCCAACCTAAAAGCATGGCCTCCAACTCCAACCTAGAAGCGATGGCCTCCTACCTAGAAGCGATGGCCTCCAAGCTAGAACGATGGCCTCCAACGTAAAAGCCATGGCCTCCAACCTAGAAGCGATGGCCTCCAACCTAGAAGCGATGGCCTCCAAGCTAGAAGCGATGGCCTCCAAGCTAGAAGCGATGGCCTCCAAGCTACTAACGATG